TTAACTGCCACCGTGTTCTGTCTGCACCTTGCTGGGTAATAAAAACAACGCTAAGCATGTGCTTTGCGCCTCCTCCCTCCTCCTTGGTGGCTGGACTCTGTGATTATGGTCGAGCGTGACTGTGTTGCGCCCAGGTGCAGAGTTTGGAAGGTTTAGTTCAGAAGCAAGTTGTTAGAATCACTTGAGAATCCGTCTGGGAAATCTGAAGGAGGCGGGCATCCCGATTTCACACTTTGTTCAAAACCCATTGCTGGGTTTATTTCAGATCTACGTAGTGGTGTGGGGTTTTTTCATCTTTAATAACGTAATAAAAGGTACAACTTGTGTAACTGAGACCACTACTGGGAATAAAGGTTTTGCCTTAGGCTTGCTGAACTTAATGTGATTTTGAAGCAAGTTTGTTGGCTCTTCTGTAAAGTTTTTTTGTGAGTTGAAACTTCCAGACTGTTACTGGAAATCTGTCTTAATCCCTCTTTACTAGTTAGTTGGAAAAATGAAAGCATACCAGTGTTCTTGCTAAAACTTATCTTTAAGGATATTGATTTAAGTAACCTTTTTAAAAATAAATGTAAAGACAATAAAGGTTCTTCCTGTCTGGGAATAAAAATGCATTGACTGGACACAATACCTGCAAGATGCAATGACTGCAGATATGTATCCACTCATTTACTCTCGTGCCTGCCTTTTGCCTTCCACAGTTTCTGATGTTCTTTCTGGTAAATAGGACTGAGGCAACAATATGAATATCAGCATTCAGAAAATTGTTCAGAACTATATCCTTCCATTGGTAGAAAAGTAGAGTGATAATCGACGAAACAGCAGAACAAATTTGGTTCAAAGTGTTCTTGTACGCAGAAGTCAGGCACTGAAAGGAGAGTGATATAAATGAATTGGTACTGCTAATGATTGAAGAAGTAGTATGAAAGATAACTGGTTAGATGTCAATACTGTTTTTAGGCTACTGCTTCAAACTCATTATTACTTGAAATTTTTTTTTCCTTTGTGTGTGTGAGTAAAACCTTGCACAAATGTAGTTACAGAACACATGCTTTTTCATCTCCACTGTTTTCTATTAATATTGTTCTTTTCATCTCTGTTGCATTTAAAAATATTTTTATTATTATTTTAATAGAATGAAACGAGGGAGGAAAACTAATGAGGCCAACAGCAGTTCATCAGAAGAGACAGCTGAGGGAGAATCCAAGAGACACAAGGTTTTAGACGAGGAATCCAGGGTTGTGCAGAGTCCTGACTGGGCAAACCTGCTTCAAGACATTATCCTGCAGGTGTTTCAGTATTTGCCTCTTCTGGATCGTGCTCACGCATCACAGGTTTGCCGAAGCTGGAACCAGGTGTTTCATATGCCTGATCTCTGGAGGTGTTTCGAATTTGAACTGAATCAACCAGCTACATCTTACTTGAGGGCTACGCATCCTGAGCTGATCAAGCAAATAATAAAGAGGCATTCCAATCATCTGCAGTATGTAAGCTTCAAGGTAGTGTATTTTTGAAGCTTTAAAAAAGTAATTTTATTAAAACAAAAGCATTTGTTAAAGATGGTTCATTTTTTCCCCCCCTGCATTTTGTTTAGGATTTTTTAAGGAAATATCTGATATTTTTGAGACAGTTTGGATGATTCATCTGTATGAATATCAAAGCATGAGAAGTTTCATTTGATTAATGTCAGTAATTGAAATATTTATGATATGCAGTAGTTGACAGTGGTGATCAAAACATTTTAATGTGCTGAAACCTAAAGAACATCACTAAATGTTAGGAAAGGCCTATGATGTTATTTTTGTGATTAGGATTGCCAGTTACTTTAAAAGAATTATGGCAGGTCTCAGTGTAGTAGGCCTTGTTCTCGGGCCTAGTGCACTGAAGAAATGGGTTCTCTAAATGGATTTATAGACATGAAGGTTATCTACAGATTCCTTTATTTATTTGAATATGTTTTCAGCACCAAAACTTGGAATAGCAGTTTTGAACATACCTGTTCATTGCCTTGATTCTATTAGGTGGGAATTTTTGTGTTTGCTGGGTTGTTTGGGTTTGTTTGTTTGTTTGTTTTGTTTATTGTGGGGTGGGTTTTTTAATCCTTTTTATCTTTTTTTATCTTAGCTGCTTAGAGTTCTGCCTCAGTGAGTGGGCAGACATACTTCAGTTCTGATACGACCATACATGTTTGATCAGGATACATAAATTGGGCATTTTCCCATTTCATGTCCTGTAGGGAGTTGGATCTAATACTCATGGTTAGAAAACATCTAATGCACAGGGAGTGGCTTCAGTGCTGGTAGTAAGCAGCTAGCAGATTTGGTACTCAATTGTGTGGGATTCTGTGGCATCTGCTCAACACAGCTGTGTTTCAGTTAACTGGAAAAGTATGTGGGATTTTCACAGGATGGTATATCTGCTGATTGTGCTTGGCTGAGAAATACCTTTTCGTCAGAACTGGCCTTGTTAATAGAATGGAATTATTTTCGGCAGCTGAAAACCTTTAATATCGGCTTACGCATCACTCTGTTTTGAAAGAGTCCTGCAAAACAGTCACAGCTGCTTATGCATCAGCTGTGTGACAGATTTGGAAAGGCAGTGATTTTGCAGCAAGGTGGACATACTAATTGTTTTTTTTCTGAGATCTGGTAGTTAAAACAGGAATCATCAGAATCACAGAATGTTAGGGGTTGGAAGGGACCTCTGAAGATCCTCTAGTCCAACCTAACAGCATGGAAGTAGCTGGGGTACCTCTGCCTGATTATGTGTATTGCTACTGTTTGATGCAGTATCAGATGCAAACTGGCTGTCAGAAGGTTTGCAGAGGCTTTATAGATGTCAGAACAAAGAAAACTTACAGTAGTATTGGAATCACCTTACAGTGTCTGTCTCCAGTGTGTGTTGTTTTGCATCAAATGTTTTTGAAGGATTTCAAATGCCTTCACTGGTGGGGTGATACCCATCCTGTCTTGAATGTGTCCCTTCAGTTGTCCTTCAGTATTGCAGAATGAACTCTACGTCACAGAAAATACGAAGTAGCAGGGATGATCACAAGGAAATGGGTAATAATACTGACTGTTACTCCGTCAAGGCTGAAAAAGTGGGATTTTTTTTTTTTTTTAGTTAAAGGAGGATTGGATTCTTGAAAATCAAGGTTTTTCAGCTTGTGTTTGAGCAGAAAATGAGTGATTGTTGAACTTAGATCGGTTGCTGACAAGGTAGCATGGCTTATGGTAGACTTAAAATTGATCTTGTGGTCAAGCTTTTTACTGTTGTGTAGGTTTGCAGAGCTGTCACACCTACTGTATGTAAGAGGTTATACAGAAAGCACAACTGAGCGCTGGGGGAAGACCACTGGAGGCATGTCAAGTGATTCAGTTTTGTAAGAAGCTGACTGATGAAGACTAATTTTTTTTTCCCTCAGAGTGGATATTGCATATCTGTTATCATAGGTTCATATGGTAATGCACCTAACTCTCCAGCAGCTGTATGTTACGAGCTGAGTCACTGTAAAAGGAAGCAGCTTTTTTATATAGTAGAAGACTTATAGAATTCCTGCAATTTGATAAGGAAGAATGTAGAGGACATGGTGTAAGCTCTGGACCCAAATAAACCTCCACTTGCTTGTTATTTGATGTGGACTGTGTATCTTGGAACAAACTGTTCAGCTGACCCCTAACCCTGCTAAATGGGCATGTAGTGATAGGACAAGGGGTAATGGTTTTAGACTGAAGGAGAATAGATTTACATTAGGTATTGGGGAGAAATTCTTTACTGTGAGGATGGTGTCCAGAGAACCTGTGGATTTCCCTTCCCTGAAAGTGTCCAAGGCCAGGCTGGATGGAGCTTTGAGCAACCTGCTCTAGTGGGAGGTGTCCCTGGCCATGGCAGGACGTTGGAACTGGGTGATCGTTAAGGTTCCTTCCAACCCAAACCATTCTGTGATTCGGAGTTTTACCAAAATGTTTAGGAGAATGGTAAATTTGTAGCAAATTATCTTGGATTTTTTTTTTTTTTCGGCACATACTTTCTGGGGGGAAAAAAGAACAACATTGATGGATTCCCAATACAATGTTTTGTAAATTTTTTTTTTTGGACATCGTATTTCAGAAGGTAAAGTGAAAAAAGTCTCTAATGACAAATACTTTGCTTTTTTTAATAAAGAGTGTATTTGATGCGAAACAATAAACATGTTTTATTTTAAGGTGGACAGTAGCAAGGAATCTGCAGAAGCAGCTTGTGATATTTTATCACAGCTTGTGAATTGCTCTCTGAAAACACTTGGGCTAATTTCAACTGCCCGGCCAAGCTTCATGGACCTACCAAAGGTATTTTAATACGTGTATTTTTTCTGTAGCAAACTATTGTAGTGATTCATACAGTATTCCTTGAACTTTATAAAAAAGTTTTCTTGTAAGAATATGAATTTTTGGTGAAGAAAACTTTATTACTGGGCTGAAGTAAAGGGACAAACTGAGATGTATGAAGATGCGTAACTGAAGTTTCACTCATTCTCTGCAGCATATGAAAACTTAGTTCTCACCTTTTTCTTTCGAGTCCTTCTGTTTATTGACCAGTAGGCTATAGGGTTTCAACAGGGTTAGCTACAGCTTTTTAATACTTACCACTCCGATAATAGCAGCATACATTACTGCCAGCAGTCATTTTTAAAGAATATAATTTGACCACAAATAAGTTCTGAAACAGGCCCGTTGGATGAGAAACAGGCACAGATGAATCGCTTTGAAAGATGGTGAACGCTACGCAATTATTTCTGCTTTTTAGCATTGAGTTACGTGGTCTTTTCATGAAGCACGTTCTGCATGAATCTCTTAAGGAATCATACTGTAGGTTACGTACGTGTCAGTATTCAAAAGACACTGAATTCCTAGTTTGTACGTTTTGGGATTCCCTTCTTAGTGAAGGGAATTGCATTCTAAATACAGAAAGTAAAGACACAGTACTAACTCTTTCAAATACAGAGGGAAAATATTAAAACACCTTTCCTTCAGTACGTAATGTGTATAATCGGTGTGTTGTCAGTATAGTCGGGAGTGGTCCCTAAAGCCGAAATGCTTCGTGCTTCTGATCTGAATTTTGTTTCCATTTGCATCAACTGACCTTGGCAATTAATGTGAAAATATGAATTCCTGCTCTAAATCTAATTGTGTGTGAGTTTTAGCAAAACCATAGATATGTCACAGAAGAATGAGCAAGCACCATTGCCAGGCCTTCTGTCCTATAACTGCATGTCCTATAACATGCAGGATACTACATGTGCATGTCGTTCAGAGTTTTAGCAAAACCATAGATATGTCACAGAAGAATGAGCAAGCACCATTGCCAGGCCTTCTGTCCTATAACTATATGCAGGATACTACATGTGCATGTGGTTCAGAGTAAAACTATTGAAATGAAAGCAGCAAGTAATTTTATGGGATACTTACGTAATACACAGAGGAGGTACTTTTTTTAAGCCTTCTATTCAGTCTTGTAAAAAATCATGAAGGTAAACTAATGATTCACTTCCCTCATATCACCAGTGATTTCTACAAGCACTGTTGTGTCTTCTCCTCAGCCTTTGTTTCTTGGATTAAGGCGTTCTGGGATCTGTCTTTGCTGATAATTTTCAACGGTTACATAAAAATGAAGCACTGGACCTACATTATCTGTGTTGTTTAATTGATCACCTGCTCCCTGACTCTGGAGCAGTCAGGTTAGCTTTCTAAGACAAATCCAGAGAAACCCTAAATACCCAGTGTGGCTGCTGGGCAGGCACTGGTACCATTTGGCTTTGTACATGTGTTAAGAGTACGGCGTTGCCTCTCTTGACTGCGTTTGCAGCTTCTTTCACAGTGCTACTTGCAAATTATCCTCAAAATTAGGGCTTCTAGGCTTGCTCTTTGCCTGCGGTTTTCCTACACATTTAAGTTTTAGTAGATTGTCCTGGGTCACATTCTTGATTTATGTTTAGTGTTAAATGTTCTGATTTGCCAAATGCATAAACTGAGGGCACAAAATTATTATACTTCCTCTACTCAAAGATATCTCAGTGTTAATATTTTTAATTATGCAATATCAAAAGAATGCATTTTTGGCAACTACTGTCAATAAGTCAAAGAAAACTAGGGCTGTTGTGTGCAGTGTAAAAACATCCATTTTTATTTCGGATACAACTGGTTCATTTAAACTTTTTTTTTTTTTTCCAGTCTCACTTTATTTCTGCACTGACAGTGGTGTTTGTAAACTCCAAATCCCTCTCTTCGCTTAAGATTGACGACACACCCGTAGATGATCCGTCTCTCAAAGTCTTAGTGGCTAACAACAGTGACACGCTCAAACTGTTGAAAATGAGCAGTTGTCCTCATGTTTCTCCAGCTGGTAAGCTACTGTGATTTGGGTTTTGGTTTTGTTTTTTAAATGTGTGCCTTAAATTCTGTCCAAAACCAGTAAACTCCTGAAAAAATAGGGCTGGGCTGAGGGTGAGGATGAATGCAGGCATAAAATAGCTGATTCAGCTGGTCGTCAGTCAATCCATCCATCCCACCACTTGCAGCGCAATTTCTGAGCTAATATTGAAACAGGGCTTGCCTGTTCTGGATGAATAACTAACCTCTTGTGGTATTTAAGAGTATTTATTGACTTGGATAGTGCACTATTTCTGCAGTCAGTAAAGCATTCCAGTATAATGAAGCTTTTTGGAACGCGAGTTCCTTTTCCACTGTTCATTATGTGTGGGTTTTGAGTGTGGTAGTGTCATGGATTATAAAGATTCTACTTTAGTCATGCTGTAAGAAAGCAGTTTAATCTTTTGCTGGAGACCAAGTGCAGACAGCATCAACAGAGTGAGATGAGACTGACCTGGGCTGTTACCGAATGTACTTCATTAACACTCCGAGCCTGTTTGTAGCAGGAGTGAAGCCAGCTCATATCAGAATGAAATAACTCAAGATTGTTGAAGTTCATAAAATTGATTGTGGAAGACTTATGCGATGCACAGCAAGTTCAAGATTTGATTCACAGCCCGTCAACTTAGCACTTACAGCTTTTCACTGAGAAATGGAAGAGGAATTATAAATGAAATGCTGGCAGCTTAGCTGAATTTCTGTTCTGAAGCTGAGTAGAGACTACTGTAGTCACCATGACTTTCTTCATGCAAATATATTGCAGTTGTAAATATTAGGTATGTTATGTGTGAAATTCACCAACAAGGTTTCTAATATGTGGGGAAAATGATACTGTAGGAGAAGGCACATTGCTGTAGTGATGACAAACAATCCACAAACAAACTTAATACCTTTTGCAGGTGTAGCTCTCCACAAAACCTTGTGTTTGGTTTTGTACAAAGACCTCCTGAAAATACAGGTCTCTGCTGCCCCAGACTTATCCAGCAAAGTGTTCACCAGCATATTAATTGCAATGTTATTTCCTTCAAAGCTTTGTGATCATAGATAAAGGGTTTTTAAATTAGCCTGAATGACTGTTTTTTCTCACTTAAAATTTTGTTTGAAAATCCTTCTATCTGCGAAGTACAGAAGTCGTAGGGTGTCTTTCAGGAGGAGGAGGAGGCTCCAGCAGTAATTTGTAGCTAGGCAAAGAGAGGAATTTCCTTAGATCTGGATCCAAGAGCGACCTGTCAGCTCTAGCAGACTTTGCTGGCTTGTGACTAATCCTTGCTAGAAGTTTTGTTTTGTTTTGTTTTGTTTTTGAACATCATACACTTAATTTGGGAAAGGGATGTGGACATAAAAAGATTGTTGACTGATGTGTTATGTGTGATATATCTCGTATGATGTTTTTAAATGGAAAGACCAGTGTCGTCCCTCATGGCGCAGAGGTGAGTAGAATGGGTTCAGATGCATTAGTGAAAAAACAAGAAGTTGCTAAGCAGATGGTCGGGAGAATCTGATTGTTTAATTCAGGCATGGGTGTGCCTTGAGATGGAGGGGGGGATAATAAGTGGATCAAAAGAAAGAAAGTGGTATGTGGGTAGTTGACTTCAGAGCAGACAGGGTGCAGAAATGCCACTCTTGAAAAAAATTGAGAAACTTTGCACACCAGGACTTACCTAGATTTTTTTTTCTAATGGGAATGTTATAATTAGCTGGCTACTATAAATGTGAAAAAGCTTTAATTGAACCAAAAGGGCCTTGAATTATGCAAAACTAATTACTTATAGATGTACTTAAAATGGTATAACGTGCCTTCAAATTGAATTTGAGGGGGAATGTTCATTACTCGATAAGTTCTTAAGAATTTGTTAGTGAAGAAAAGGGAAGAGTAATTTAAGTAGTGTAAGAAAGACTCTAAGACTGCAGGAATAAAGGAAAATTACTGATATAAAACTGATTTGCTCACAAAGGATGCTCCAAGTAATCCCTAAATTTCTGTACAAAGATGAAGAGGCATGTTTGGGCTTGGGCTGGAGAAACAAAAGCAGTGGTGTGTTTCTGATCTTTCTGAGCAGGTCTGAAGTTTCTTCTGCTTGCTGTTTCCCTTCTGCACTTCAACTTGTATTAGAACTGCAACAGTACCTTGTAAAACAAAATAATGGCTATTGTTGCTTATTACTTGAAATATTATTGAAACAGAGGGAACCAAAAGCATTTCTGTAAAGGCTGTATTTCTGCTCTGTTTTCAGGTTGGGCGGGTTGGTTCTCTTTGGGGGGAGCACAGGGGAGAAGAGTAGATGTGTAGGATGTGTCTGCATTAGTGGTTTAGTAGAGAGATTTTTTTGATGCAAACATGTGCTATATGATATGAGCACAACTTACCTCTCAGTGACACAAAGATGTAGGGATGTTCTGTGAATGTGCCACTTGAAGCACGGGCTCTAGGCAGGCCCTCCGGCAGGTTACTTGCCTACACCCTATTCCTTGTCAGTTTTCTCTGTGGGATACAGAATTTCGTTGCCAGTGTTAGATGTGAAAATCCAGTGCTAGACCCACAAAAGTTCACAGCAACTTGAACTCCAGTTCTTCCCTTTTTGTCCTGAATAGTCAGGAATGTACCCTCGGAATTAACAAAGATGACCTTTTTTTTTTTTTTCTTTTTTTCTTTGAAGCCTAGAGGTCTGGATAGCGAGCTGGTTTGGATGCTGAATTTGTAGCAAGCTGTTTTTTGAAACTGTGTAGCAATGAGACAGCTATCTGAATTTTGAAACTGTTGGCACATGAAATGTTTTACACAAACCTAGGTACTATGAAGAGCAGGCCTGAGTCTGCCTAAATGCAGTGGCCATAGTAGCTGTTGCAGGGTGTGGCTCTAAGAATAAGTTTGTTATGAGTTTAAGGACAGGAAATACAGAAGTTTATAGTTATCCTTAGTTGCTCAAATTTTGTACTCCGGTCTTGGAGGAAAAAAAAACCAAACCACAAAAAAACCAAGCAAATAAACACAAATTCTGGATTTTGACTTCATCTTGGATCACATCCCCTCCACCTGACCGAAATAATAAGTATGCTTACATATATAAACTATTTTTTGAGGAAATAGTTGCAGTAAGAGTTAAAAATGTGTTATATAAGTTCTGTTGGGTTTTTTTTAATTCAGCTAACAATCTTTCTATATTTGAAATGACAGTATTTGATACACTTAGAAAAGTTTCTGATGCACATATTCTTGCCAGATGTTCCAAGTGGAAAATACATACTTTTTTGTTGTGTATATTCATGGAATACTTTACAGTATTTTTTCTAAGAAAGTGTGTTTTAGACTCAGTATACGCTTCTCTTTTGAATTTAATAACTGCATCTTCAAATAACTCTGTCTTTCTATATTTATATTGCTTCAAAGCTATAGTGTGTTGAGCTCAGGTTTTTCAGTTGCTTATTAAATGCTGTGTTCTCATCTGCTCTGTTAATGGAAAAGACTTTATCCTGAATTTCACAGAGTTTTCTGGGTCACATGAAATGCAGAGGACTAAATGCTCTTGCTTTTTTTAGTACCTTTTTTTTTTTTTTTTTACCAGTATGGTACCGTTGCTTGTATCTGCAAGGATGAGTGGGAACCCCATAAACTGAGCAGGGTTCTTTTTGTTAATACCTTTTTTGTTGCTGTATTTCCAAATTTAAATATTTATACTCTACTAGAAAGAACAAATACTGACTGCAGCAATTTCTGTATTTAATTAAAATCTAGCACTTGTTTTACGTTTGCTTTCCTCAGGTGACAGAATTCATGATGGCTGCTCTGTCAGCCACAGAGGGGGACAGCAGTTCCTCCAGAGCCAGCTAGGGAAATGCTTTGGAGTAAGGCACTTTTACAGAAATGAATTTGAGGATGTGTGGCTTTACACAAGGCAGAACAGCGAGTGTGGATATGTGTCATAAGAATCAAGTGCTGTAGGGAAGTATATGATGCAGCGTGTTGTCTTCTTTACTGTTTCCTTAGAAAAACAGCGATGCAGTCACATAGTGTTACGAGTATCTCACTGTGTAGATAGAAAGGAGTCATGAGACCTGCTTACATGAAAAAGATTCACATTCTGGTCACAGAATCACAGAATGTTCGGGGTTGGGACGGACCTCTGAAGATCATCTAGTCCAACCTTCATCCCAGGATATGTAACCACTACACCATAGCCTCAAGTGCTAGATCTACTTTTTTTTTAAACACCTCCAGGGTTGGTGACTCCACCACCTCCCTGGGCACCCTGTTCCAGTGCCTCACCACTCATTCAGTAAAGAACTTCCTCCGAATATCCAATCTAAACTTACCCTGACGCAACTTGAGGCCATTTCCCCTTGTCCTGTCATTAGTAATTAGAGAGAAGAGACCAGCACCAGCCTCACTACAGCCTCCTTTTAGGTAGTTGTAGAGGGCAATAAGGTCTCCTCTCAGCCTCCTCTTCTCCAGACTAAACAAACCCAGTTCCCTCAGCCGCTCTTCATAGGTCATGTTTTCCAGACCTCTCACAAGCCTTGTTGCCCTTCTCTGCACCCGCTCCAGCACCTCCATGTCCTTCTTGTACTGTGGTGACCAAAACTGGACACAGTACTCGAGGTGCGGTCTCACGAGTGCCGAGTACAGGGACACGATCACCTCCCTCCTCCTGCTGGTCACACCATTTCTGATACAGGCCAGGATGCCGTTGGCCTTCTTGGCCACCTGGGCACACTGCTGGCTCATGTTCATGGTCGTCTGGTACAAATTTATTTTGATGTTAGGTCTTAACTGCATGTTGAAATACATGGCCTTTGCAACCTCCTGACACACGGAAACAAACTCACTCTTATATTTCTTGTTCAGGTATGAGCACTTCTTCACCGAGAGGGTGATCAAACACTGGAATGGGTTGCCAAGGGAGGTGGTGGAGTCACCATCCCTGGACGTGTTTAAAAAACATCTGGATGTGGCACTTCAGGAGATGGTTTAGTGTTAGGGTGGTGTAAGGCTGATGGTTGGACTTGATCTTAAGGTCCTTTCCGACCTCGATGTTTCTATGGTTCTATGTTTACCCGTGTAACCCCTTCCATAATGTTCTTTTCTCCCAGGTATCCTTTGTGTGGCTGACCAGTGTCATGGCTTACGTGAGCTGGCGCTGAACTATCACCTGCTGAGCGACGACCTTCTCCTTGCTTTGTCTTCTGAAAAGCATGTCAGGCTAGAACACTTGCGCATTGACGTGGTCAGTGAAAACCCCGGACAGACTCAGTTCCACACGATTCAGAAGAGCAGCTGGGACGCTTTCATCAAGCATTCTCCTAAAGTAAATTTAGTGATGTACTTTTTCTTGTACGAAGAGGAGTTTGACCCGTTCTTCCGTTACGAAATACCCGTCACTCACCTTTACTTCGGAAGATCGGTAAGCAAAGACGTCCTTGGCCGCGTCGGGATGACATGTCCTCGCTTAGTGGAACTGGTGGTGTGCGCCAACGGATTGCGGCCGCTGGACGAGGAGCTGATCCGTATCGCGGAACGTTGCAAGTACCTGTCGGCCGTCGGCCTAGGAGAATGTGAAGTCTCTTGCAGTGCCTTCGTCGAGTTTGTGAAGATGTGTGGCGGTCGTCTCTCTCAGCTTTCCATTATGGAGGAAGTTCTGATTCCTGATCAGAAGTACAGCTTAGAGCAGATTCACTGGGAAGTTTCGAAGCATCTCGGTAGAGTCTGGTTTCCAGACATGATGCCCACGTGGTAAAGTCCTTTAAAAGACTTCAGAGTGGATGGAATAGCACCTTAAATCCAAGCTTACCATACTGCAATTTACTGTATAAGCTTATTTAATACTATAGTTTTTACTGGAATTTACTTCATTGTTTGATTAGAAAATTAATTTTGCATTCAAAAATTACTTCAGTAACCCAGATTCAAACCCACAAATCATGGATAGCTCCAAAACCCTTTTTCATAAAAAAAGAAAAAGTTTGGTTTAGATTGTTTCTTTTTCATTGACAGTGACTTCAAACTTTTATAGAACTAAAAAATGTATTTAAAACACTGAAATGCACCTGCAAAATACCAGTTTTAACATGCAGACCTTCTTTAACTAGCTTTGAAGGCCGATTTGATCTTAAAACAAAACCTCACCGAAATCGTATGTTTTTGTTGCAGATGATAGCATTTCTAAATCACCTAGATGACAAGATTAAGATTATAAGGAGTATGTGTATATTTTACAGCCTACTACATTCTTTTATACAAGTCATAAAAGGCAAGAGCAATATGCCATAATATAGTTTAGACAATTGAAATATTAAGTTTGTTACTTTATTCAGCGCATTATTCAATCTATCTAAAAATATATTTAGAGTACAAACAAGTAATAGTGCGAGATAACCAAAAGTGGTGTGGGTTTTTTTTCCCCTCTATGCATTTTGATGTAGTTTGGTTATGGGGTGTCAGATCTGCACCTAAACCTGTTTTAAGGTATTTTTATGTCTAGCTCAGGAAGCGAAAGCATTCTGGGGAAAAATGTAGATACATTGTATTTAAAAACACCTTGGAGTTAATGAGTTTTTCTTGCACATTAACCAGTTTTGCAGCGTAGGGTTAGGTGGAATAATGTGTACTTTATTAAAGGAACCTTGCAGTGTTATATGTGATGACAGGGATCTGAATGGTGGGAGCCAAGAATGTTAAATTCAAACGGTGACCAAGAACCTTTTAACAAAACCTGAGATCTTTCAGCTGCTTTCGATTTGAGAGAAATGACTTTGTAACAGTTGCTTAAGCTGTATAAACTAATTGTATACTGTAAATCGGTTTCAGAAATGTTTCTGTATAAAGTGAATGTTTGATAGATGATCATTTTGTATACCTTTAATTCCGCTAGTTCGATCATTTCGTAATATTTAAAAGCCTAAAAGCAGTAAACGTGCGTGAAGTAGAAGCAATAGGCAAAAATTTGTTTTGACTATCGGTAAGTCAGTTTTATTAAAGGCAGTTTTTAGTCTGTAAGTGTTGTAGGCAGTGTATTGCCTGTGATCTGAATGTGGCTCGTAACTTCATTTCTTGCCGCCGATGGTTATTTTATTTTCTCTTTTACATCACGGATTGGTAACGCTCAAGTATTCACCTGACTTCTGAATGTGTTGGAGGGGTGTGGTCAGCCCCCAGCAAGGCAAAGCTGATCTGGCTGTGGGCTGTACCCGGCTCAGCCAGTGGCTTCTTCTCATTGGAGCCGTACAGCTGGTTCTGGTGATAAGTGGATTTTCTTCATTTCTGATTTCTGTAACGTTTATCCAAATGTATAGTTCAAGTGTAATACACTTATGAGCATATTTAAGTTCATAACTATATTTTGAGCAAACATTGCTCGGCAGACTGGACATCTCTAAAGGGGAGTTGTATTTTCTGTAGAGCTTTGATTTAAAAATGACATTTTATGAAATCACCTTTTTTTGTATTAGAATTTGTTAAATTAATGTAATACTATAATTTGCTTTTATTTGTATAAAAGGTGTCAATATATTTAGTCTGTAAAAGTAAAAAAGCTCAGTGTTTTTTTTGGTTTTCTTTTTATATTCCGACTCCCAGAATTGCTTGCCTGTAGACTAATGCTAGTAATGTGGGGAGGAGGACATATATCTTCACTCAATTAACATGTGAAGTAATCTCAGTAGTAATACAGTAGTAACTCTTTGGACTCTGACTGTTGGTGTCGTGATGTCAGCAAGGTAAGTGGGGCCCATTGCTTCCTGTCACGGTAGTGGGAAGGACTGAAAGGCAAGACACAGCCTAAATACCCAAATTTCCTTACTTCTGGAATTCATGTCTTTTGAAGCCCAGCATTCTGCTTCTCACAGAGTGGCCTCCCCTGTGTCCTGATGTGGGGAACCTGGCGGCAGCCGAGGGCTTTACACTCAGTTGTAGTGGAACCACTTCCCCGGCAGGGTAACTGGCTCGCCCCTTCAGAGAAGGTCTCTTGTTGCAGAGGCTTCAAAAAGTCTCTCACAGCTGTGACACAGTATCATGATGGTTGTCAAAGCATTCAAGGATAAAAAAAAAAATGCTTGAAAGCCGTTGTCTCTGTTCCACTGAGGGGCAGCAGTTTTTGTGCATCAAACCAGTTACAACATCCTTCGCTCAAATAATCTGGCTATAACCGGAACTTTGCAGGCAAGCCTATGTTCTAAGTATCTTCAGGAAAAGCTTCAATGCTCCTTAGCAAATCTTGTGCAATTATTTTGCCTTCTATGCATGTTGGAACAAATGAATAATAATAAAAAAAAGTATTGCAAACTGTCTTGAAGTTCACTAGAAACAGGAGAACTGGGTCTTATAGCTGTATAAAATATTTTCCCCTGGGTTCACCTGTGTTTCTTGTTTTAATTCAGTGTTGTCTTGGTTGTCCAGTTGGGGGGG